GATGATCCCAGGCTCAGCTGCTGCAAGCAGCTATGTTGTTCAACTGTCTTTAAGGAAGTGGTTAGAGGCACCTATACACAATGTGGTTCCAGTAAGAATCCCTGTTTCCTACTGTGTAAGTGACTGTCTCCCTGTTTAGGGGATGACTAGTGACTAAGCCAGTGATCTGAGAACTGGCACACGGTTGACGCAAAGGTGGGATCGTCTTCTCCCTCTCCCATATTTCTGGGCAGGAAGCCAGCTTATGCTCTCTGTACCCTCTCTTCTCTCCAATGAGGCATAGTACCGGACCGTTCACAGGAGCTGCATAGAGCCACTTACAAGAGAATTTGGTTACACAAAAGAAAAAACACAGACATTTTAATTGTCATAATGGTGACCAGAACAAAGATTAAGCGTTCTCCTTTCAGCACAATGGACGAACTCTAGGTTGAGATGGAGAAACGCAACTCCCTGTGTTCACCTGACACAGCCGAGCGATCGTTCAAACTTCCTACCTTTTCAGCTTTTGTCATTAGTCCTGTCACCATTTGCTTCCCAACCTCTGCAAAAAACAGCTGGTTGCTTTCATCCTCCAATAGCTCCTGCAAAGGGAATACAAGAAGTCTCCTGTGAACACCTAGGCTGGTGTGAACCCTGAGTTTGGAGGAAAAAAAAGGGACAGGGCACAAAGCAGTGCAGTGCTGTGTACACCAATACCATTAGCCTTTAATAGGCTAGAGTCTATGAAACAAGATTGCTTTCTCCAGGAAGAAAGTTCAAAATTCAGCTGGAAGACTGGAAGCAGCAAGAACAAAGGCATGGGAGCCGCTGGCTGCTAGTGGGGCCAGGGCCCAAGACCTTTCTATTTAGGCTCTAGAAATAGTTTGCTAGCAAGGGCATTGGAGGGAGGAGACAGAAACCTTGCTCCCCCACCGCAGAGGGTTGAATCTGGCCCGGTTAGAGTGGAAAGTCCCCAAGTGGGAGTAGCAGCTTCGGTGCCGCTCTGAATTCCCAGACTTTCCCTTCCCAGAACTGTAACGGACAACGTTAGCGGCCACATAGCCGCTACTCAGCTGGCCATGGAGACAGGGAGATCCTCTCCCTCTCCACATCAAACCAATCGGGACAGGATCATAGAGCAAAACAAGGGAAGCTTGGGCTGCTGCTTCTGCTTTTACTTGCTGCAGGGGGGGGAAGACTTCACTCCTGTACGGATGGAAGAGAAGACAGTGCTGCCAAGAGCCACTCGCCACGAGAGCCTGCAAGCCTCGAGGACAGCCAGTCGGGAGCGCCACGGCCAAGGCGTTCTTACCTGGAAGGCCTGCCTGACGCAGTGCAGCTTGGCTAGGAAATCCTGATCACTGTAGCAGCCTAGCAGCTCTGTCCTAGAGGGAAAAGGGAAGGATTGCATACATTCCAGCTCTCCTGATGCCTGTTCTCCTAGCACCCAACACCCCTAAAAAATCCCAGTCTCTGCGAGAAAGTAACTGCATTCCCTTTCATACAGGGCACCAGGGGACCACAGCACCTCTCTGAAGGCTGTTACAGCACAGCCACACAGAACAGTTATATTTCTCATTACTGATTTCCTGAGACAACTACCCTATTTCTTAACATGCACATCCTAAAATCTGGGGCTAGTTCTCCAGGAGGTCCAAACCGGCAGGAAAGATGCTAAGAGTTCCTTGCCCCCCAGGGTTATTCCGGTTCCAGGGCTGCTGTAAGGCAAATACTGTGTCCACACTGCTCAAAGGAGCTTTGAAGCAATGACCCAGGACTCCAGCTAGCACCTCACCTCAGTGTCCGGCACGCAACCTTCCCTTCTTTCACTAACTGCAAAGCTTCTTCATACGCAGCTACTGGCTTAGAAAGATGGAACGGTATTTCCTCAAAATGAAGAGAGTCAAAGAGCTGTAAAGATAGCAGGAGACATGGGAAGAGCAAAATGATCTTGTTAAATATTTGCAAATACGCAGAGATTGCACACAAGCAAGATGTGCCTTCTTCAGCTGGCAAGCTCTGGTCAGTACCAACTATTTCAGGCAAAGATATTTCTTTTCCCACCAGTTTCAAAAGCTGCCTCAGCCCTGATGCAGCTCAATATCCCCCAAAACATTTATACAACCAAGCCACATTATGTTAGTGGCACTTTTCTAGCTGTTAAGGCATCTTTTCTGCAGTAGACAGTAAGATGACATGGTAACGTCGATGGAAAAAGACCTCCAGAGGTTTCTAGGCCAACTTCCCACTTGAAGCAGGACTGCTGCTGACACTAGATCAGGTCAGTCATGGTTTGGTCCAGACAAGTCTTGAAAACCTCCAAGCAGTGAGATTCCCAGGCCTTCCTGGGGAGGGCTGCACCATTCCCCCACTGAAATAGCTTTTCCTAAAGTCCAGCATGAACCTCCAAAGCCTCAGCCTGGGGCTACCGCTCCATGCTTTATCATCTTTCTCTAACAAGAATTGTTTGGCTCCACAGTCTTTGCGGCTCCCCTCCCAGCAGCTGGTTTGTTACATACAGCTGGAAACTTAAGTCACCTCTGCTGCAGAGAAGAAGGAGTCCTCAGAAATCGAGCTGTCTTCATCATCTGTCCGAAGTCGTAGTGACCCGTCTGACAATGGAAGCATTAGAGTCTTCTCTGGAGAAGAGGAAGAAAATGCATCTGCTAGATACTGTATGGACTGCTATTCGTCTTGGCCACTGTGCTCTCTCCCCCACCCTCCCATATAGCCCTTTTGTCACCACTTCATTGCCTGGCTTACAGAAAGGACATAAAAAGAGAGAGAAAACTGGCCCTTCTAATTCATTTCTAACCCAGCTTCCATACCCAGCTCACCCAGATCCAGCAGCATGCTGTCTGACGGAAGTGAAGACCCAAACTCTTCCTGCAGGTGATAGGCTCGGTGCAAGAGGGACTCTAGCTTCTCAGCAAACTCCCTTTTCTGGGACCCCTCCTTGAACACACACAAACACTACCCTTAATTAGCCCACTGGACAGAGACAGATTGACAGCACAGATATGGAAGGAAGTTCTCAGTCAAATAGGATTTACAGCTTGCAGATTAACTAGTTTAAAGAAAAAAAAAAAATCACAACTCATTAATCCTACAATACAGCTAGTAACGCAAGGGAAGAGGGAAGCTTCTACACAGCCTTTACAAACACTTTGGCATTTTTAGCTTCAGAATTTTTTTTTTTTTCTTTTAAGGAGGAAAGAAAGAACTTTAACCTGCCATCCAGGAAAAAAGGCCTTTTAATGAATTACAGATCATTTACTTCTCTTTACTTGTGACTTTTGCCTAATTTCAAGAGGGAATGTTTGTTCACATCAGAAAACTCTGCATTGAATACAATAGAGTATCCAGAGCTGGACAACAGAATAAGAGTCCTTGGATTAAGGTGCTGGGCCTAAGCAAAGTTGGCTGTTAGGACAGGTGGACAGAAACAATGAAGGAGAGTAGTAAAACTTACATAGCATCTTGCCTTCATACCCCTGTGTCTGCATGAATATCTCACCCAGCAGATAGAAGCATTAACAAGAAGCACAAAATCTATTTTGATAATGAAGCAACTGTTTTTAAGGCAGTTGTAGAAACACTGTAGGACACTTCAAGGAGAGACAGCAAGAAGAGAATCCAGATTTGACGTGGATAAATATTATCCACCACAAAAAGACAAACATCCCACATACTTACTACACCAGACCTTGTTTATAAGAGCCTGGGAACGTCTTTCACCAACACAAACTCCTGGCGAGTTCGCAGTTTAGCTCTTCTCATGATCCTCAACTACAGCTGCTCTCTTTTTAGCTCTGTGGTCACCACTGAGCCTTTCAAGTTTCCATCTCCCCTTTTATCAGGGATCTTCCCAGCATAGTCCTCAGGTCCGAGACAAGAGGGCGATGTCCTAAAATACTTGTTCTGCAGCTGTAGGTAGAAGGAGCTACCCACTTCCCTGCCCCAGTCACTCAGCAGATGGGCACACTTAGCTCCTGCCGAGTTACCACTTAGCTTTACTCATTAATGCACAGAGGCAGCTGGCCTCTGCTTCTCCTCACAGCTCCCTAGGAAGCGACAGCGACAACCAAGAGCTCCACTTGCAAATGTGTTAGTAAGCTACAGACACAACACCGTCAGGCAAAAAGCTATTTTTTCCACTCAGGTGATGCATTTGTTACAGCCTTTTCTCAGACAGCAGAGTCTTGTGTAGGAAGTCACATGACAGCAACTGACTTGAGATGCTGAAAGGTGGGTAGAAAGATTGGAGAGTGAGGGGGAGAGACTTATTAAAAAAAAAAAAAAAAGAAACAAAAAGGAGAAGAAGAAAATGAAATTAAAAACACACCCACTCAAACTGGATAAGGAAGCTGCAGATACAGACAGCTCTTAAACAGTCTGGCCCAACTCTGCCCTGAATTTGCTCTTTAGTGTTTAATCTCCTACTAATTCCTGGCTCTAGCATCCAGTCTGGCCTTTCAGCCTCTTCCCCATTTGGCAAAAGCAAGGGAAAAGCAGGGCCCTACCTCTGGGATGTCCTCAGACGTGGACTCTTGGTGTTTCCTGCTGTCCCAGGGCACCGGGGTGCTGGTACTAGCACTGTCCCTCTGCCGGATGGTCAACGCCTGCTCCCATTTCTGCAGGGCCTCCTCAAACAGCTCCATGCCTGGAGACGTGACCAAACACAAGCCATGAGATCACAGAGCCGCGCAGGAACAGAGCGATCCAGCAAGAGTCCTCACTTGCTCAGGTAATTCAGCAAAGAGGGAAGCCTCTCCCAAACGGATGGGAACGAGTAAATTTATTCTATTTCTTTCCCCTTTAAATATGGTTTAGTTTGGATTAGAAGTTAACGAGAACACCCCTAAACCAGTTAAAACATCTGCCATGGTACTTTCAAAATACTGTTCTCTGCGCAAGAGCCATGGACGAGCCTGTTGTTGGAAGAACAGTATTTTGGAAGCAAATTATTCACTGAGGAAACAGAAGACTTGTATCTATTGGCGTTGTCTAAGTGCAAGTAGGATTTTATAGCTATCAAGAGCCTGAGTTTAAGTTGCGGATGGGAGAGAGCTTCCAGTCTAAGCACAGAGGAGCATCCGCACAGAGCCGGTAGCGTTTGACGCAAATTCACACGCTATTTCTGCTCTTGCAAAGAGGAATAACCCTCCCAAGGTGATGTTACTCTTGTTTTTGTTTACCTTGAACGTAGAGGCTTTCTGCACTGGAGTCGCCAGCTGCTCCAGCATCCCCCGTTGCCTGGGCCTCCCACGGACCTGCTGATGCCGGCGTCGGACTTGGCGAGTTCACTGCTACTATCTGGGGGAAGGGAACAGAAACAAGCAAATGCCTTTTGAATTCTCTCCAAGGGAAGAATCGGCAGTGAAACCACCCAAACACCACCCGGTAAACCTGAATGATAAGCCACTTCCCCTTCCCCATGTCCATCCTGGTGCCTGTCCGGTGTCCGTGTTCCCTTACTTTTGAAGGGGAAGGTATTGAGGGTTCAGGCTGCGATTCCACATGCGGCTGAGCCCATCTGACAACTTTCACCCTGCTCGCAGCTGCAGTCCAGCTTGTCCCAGCTCTGAACTTTGTGGGCCCTTCCATGAGCCAGTTCAACTCTCTAACCCATCAAAAACTACCCGCTTTTTCCTGGCTCAGGGAGCTGAATTAGTTTTGGAGACCTCTGGCAGCACCAGACAGGGCATGCGTGGCTGGAAGCTGGCGTGGGAGGGAAATGCCAGAGCAGGAGCAGAGAGCTGTTAGCTCAGCTCACCCCATCTCCTGGATCACCCCTGCAGACAGCAGGTTAGTGCCGTGATCCTGTTCAAACCAACCCTCTCTCCTTGGGGTTTGCCCAACGCTGCCAAGAGCTGCCAGGCGCGGAGAGGAGCAGGTGAAGTGAAAAGCACCCCCCCTTCTCCACCCAGCACAAAGGTGTCTGCAAGCACAGAGAGCTGTGGGGGAAGTACCTTCCCAACCAGCTTACAGTGAAGCCTCATTAGGAAATGGCCAGCTTACAGCTGTGAGCACTAGCTAGGATACCACCGATGGAGACAAATAGCCAAAGAAAACTCCAAGGCAATTGCTACAAGGGGGCAGGGATTTTGATAGGAAGTACATATTGGCCACAGCTCTCAACACAAAAAAAGCTGATAGGAGAAGCAACCACAGTCCAAACAGGGAACAGATTATTGACAAAAACATGGCTGAGGACTCAGCCAGGGGAGTTTCTGCTCTCCTCTTTGCAACCAAACCTTCTCATAGGAGGGCTGAATGCTAAAATCCACTTTGCAAGTTGTCAACCTCCAAATTTTTTCACCAGTACATAAGTGTCTTTTAAAGTCTGACGCAGTGAAGTGCTGCGTTCAAACCCTATCAGTGATCGATGTTTGCACAGCCTGTGATTAGATAGCTATTGGTGGGTATATCACGTCAAATATATCAGTTGAACTGCCTTTTACTTTGTTTTTCCCCTCCCAAAGCTTACACAGATCACTTGTGGTTGATATGATGAATGACTACTATGAACTGTCCTGTATTATGGTAAAACAGGGATTTGGGGTCAGGGGGAGACAAAGCACTACTTGATAATCACAAAGAGAAACAAGTGATTTTAGGGAAGGGGAAGTTAGGAAAAAAAGGGTCAATCTGAATTTTCACCTCTAGAGCTTTAAAAAAAAAAAAAAACAACCCTGAAACCCTGAGCCAAACAAATTGGGGCATTACTCTGTAACAGGGGGCAAGGGGGCAGAAGGGAAGAGATCACCCAGTTTGCTTCAAAACAAGATGGAAGAAAAAAAGAAATCAGTGTTCCCAAAGACTGATTCACACTGCCTTTCTGGCAAGGGGAATTTAATCTTCAACTTCTGAAGGCTGCAAAAACATGAAGAGGCTCAATCCAAGCAGTTCAGGAGGCTCCTCCAGCTCAGGAGAGCCAGTGGAAATCTAGACAGCCATTTTATGAAAAGGGTTCTTAAAAGATCCCTTAACTTGTGGGTTAGTTTTAGCTTAACGTGAAACTCATCTCAAGCAGGCTTCTTATTACTTCTTACAATTCCAGAGTTTAAGGTCACCTTTCCGCTTTAGAGGGAATCCACCTACCTTGTTCTTGCAAGCCCAGAGGCCAAGATGAAGAGCCAGAGCACACAAGCAATAGGGTTGCAAGCTCCCTGCTGTGCTCAAGAGAAGAGAGCCAGAGACTGTCTCACCCTATCTGCTACAAAGTGGCCATACAAAGCCAGGCTTGGAGGTCTCTACTGCCTTCCACAACAGCAATGCCTGATTAGACCTATCCCCTCCCTCAACCAGGTGAGAAGGTGCAAATATATCAGATTGATAGAAACTGCTTGACCCACCTGCTCTCTCCCAAGCCCTAAGGAACTGGTGCTCAGCCCTGGCTCAGGCTGAAGCCATCCCTGCTAAGACATGCTGGTGACCAACGCAGCGTGTTCAGATTCTGCTAAATCCCAACTTCTGGGTTGGATTTTTTTTCTTTAAACAAAGGTAGAAAGAAAAGATTTCCAGTCCCTATGGCTTAGTGAAAGATGTCCAAACATGAGCCCCGATGTTAGAGAACAAGCTACAGTGAACAGCTCACAGATGTGCTCTTGCCCTGCTTCCATTGATTAATCTTTGTGGAACATTAATAAACCACCTTGAGATCCAGAACTGCATGTCGGCAATTCACTGCTGCTTATTACCAGACTTATATACCAGATGGCAAGGAAGAGCACAGGGAAGCAGATGAAAGCATGCAGAAACGGCAGTTGTGTGAAGGATGAGCTATTTTCCCGATCAACTAACATACAAGTAAGGAGCACAATGTCACACAAGCTCTGTTCCCACACCATGAGAAGTGGGTACAGGAAGAGATTTCTCTCTATATTTTCACCTTCACCCATGCACAAGTAGTGGAAAAGGGTATTTAAAGACTTTTCTAACCTGGATCTCAGCAAAGATTTAGAGATCCTAGTTCACAAACATGGAAAGCAGGTTTTGAACCGGTGCATTTGTTTGTCATGGAAGTCAGCAGTTACACTCCCCAACAGATTAAGCCAAAGTCACAAAGCTGGCTAAGAAGAGTCAGGTCTTTGCTGCCAGCTCCCCTCACCTCTACTACAGCCAAATTCACTAAGTCAGTTGGGAGACAGTGGGTCCAAAACTCAGGGCAGGTTTGCTGACTCTGTAATTGTTTCTCATCCTCCAAGATTACACATAACCTGGAAACATTGCATTTGCCTGGCGAATTCCTCCCCAGGTCCGAAAAGAGACTTCAGTGATATAAACCCCAGACTCTGTCCATGGGAAAGGAGAGACCACAGGGGAATTAAACAGATGTGAGAGGACCTGGAGGGGAAGAGACCAGGGCTGGACACAGCCTGGTCTGCACTGATGTGTCCCAAGAACCTTCCCACCTTATCCCAGTTCACCCAGGGCAGCGCTGGTGCGGGGCAGCACGCCCAGCGCTGTGCCGGCACTGCCGCCTGCTGGAGACTCACCCCAGCCAGCACAAGTGTTTGGCTGGTTTCTAGTGCTTTACCCAGACAGGACAAGCTAAAATAAAGCACATACTGCAGGGCTTTGCTGGCAGATAGCTCCCTTCAAAGGGGCGATTTTTCCCTTTCCTGCTCCAGAGTTGCTAAGCAGCCTCGGCGCACGGCGGCACGGCGCGCGGCGGCACCCAGGAGGTACGCTGCTGCGCGCGAAGCTGCAGAGCGGAGGATTGCTGCCTCGGCGCGCGGCGGCACCCAGGAGGTACGCTGCTGCGCGCGAAGCTGCAGAGCGGAGGATTGCTTGTGCTGCCTGCTGCTCTGACAGCAACACGAGAGGCTTTGAGCAAAGGGGATGTAAAACAGGGCTTGAAGCCACAAAAACTCCCCAGTGCTTTTACCTTTGGTCCCCAAGAGGCAGATATAAGCAGCGGTAGCTTTTCCTGTTTAGCCAGGCCTGAATTACCTGTATTTATAAGTTGTTCTTGACTTTGGAGGAGGTAGAAGAACTGCTAGGCCATGTTCCTACACTGCTCCATTTCCTGAACAGAGCTAGCTGGTTTTGGTAGTTAATTTGGTTTTAAAAAACAGTTTTATACAATTCTAAGCAGCTTTAGAGCTTCCCTGCTGGACTTGAACACCCACACGGGTTACAGTGCCTAAGTTTCTCAGCTTCTGATCCAAACTAAGACCTATAAAGCACTATAAAGTTTGCTCTGTGCCTCTGGTAGCTCAGGACAGCCCAAAACACCCTGCGAAATATCCACCGTCATCTCCTGCTCTGGCTCCATGCCGGTCAACCTGTGAGCAGCCCATATAGAGGCAGGAGGGCTGCGCTAGCCCAGAGGCTGCTGGGCCATCCAAAACCTCCGCCACGGAGGGAAGCGGACGAGCTACCCCGCTGCCCTGAGACCCAGCTACAACCCAGCCTCACTCCTCGAGGGGGCAGGGAGAGCCTCGAGGGATCACAGCCACGTCTCACTCGCAAGTACCCCCCTGGAGCCCCTCGCAACCGGCTGAAGAAGTGGGCTATACCCTGGGGCTCCTGGCCACGGGAAAAGGCTGCTCTGATTTGAGGTCGGGTGCCTGAGTCCTGACTCCAGACGGTCACTGCAAAGTTATTATTGGAACTTGCCCTCTAATTATGCCATAACCTGTTCTGCTTCCACAGGTTTGGTCAGTGCAAGCCCAAGGACTCGGTGATCTTGTTACGGGTAGGTACACTCACACCTCCGAGAAGGCTTCTTACCGAGGCAAGGCTGTGGGAAGAACTGGAATGTTTGCTGGGCTCGATGGAGGAAATCCCGCTGAGCGTGTCATTGCTCTTGCTGCCGGGACTCTGGACTCTCTTGCTGGAGTATCCTGCAGTTGGGAAGGTCACATAAAAACAGGCTTTTAGGCCTGCTGGCCTGGGCATACCGAGGATGGAGGCAGGCCCTCCTGACCCTCACTGTCCCAGCAAGTACTGCTGGACGCATGGTCCTTGCAAGCTACAGAGAGCGCGGTTCACGTAGGAAACTACAGCAGTCGCAGGAAAACCTGGTGCAAAGCAAAAGGGATTTGCTGCACCTTGACTACGGAGGGGAACAGCCCCCCGTCAAGTGTGGCTTTACAGAAGGGCAAAGCAACATCCAACACCTAGAAATGAGTCGTGGATCTGCTATATTCTCTATTTTGCTTTGAGACACTGAGAAAGTCAGTATCAGTGGGGATCTGAGACCGCGGGATGAATATTCACCTCTCTGGGTGGCAGAAGGCAAGCACGAATGGAAAGCATCGAGGAGACAAACTTCTCCAGCTTCCCTCAGGCCCAGCAGAGCACTGACGTAGCAGCTGCCAGCACAGACAATGGTGCTCCCTTGGTTATTATTAAACACGCTGAAGGATTTTTCATACATTTCACAACACTAATGCTTAATCCCTACAGTGCTTTGCTCAGGAGCTGGGTCAGTCTTAGCCCAAAAAACAAAACAAGCGGGTGAAGAAGCTGCCCAAGGTCAGGAAGCCCAGCCCGGAGCTGGACGAACACTCCCACGTCCCCAGCCCATCCCACGCCAACTTCTCCTCTGCTCTCCAGCCCCACCGAGGCAGCTGTGCACGGGACCCATGGGCCAGGCATCACCCCGGCGTTGCCAAGATCAACACAGAACCAGGTCACTGCACGCTCGCGGCTGTTACTGCTGGGGAAAGCATGGCGTAACGGGTCCAGAGTCCTCCTGTGTGAAGGGGGATGGGAACTGCAAACCTTTGTAAAATCCACCACTTTTTGCTCGCACAGGCTTTCAGCTCAGGGTCTCTCTCTTTCCTCCACTAACCCTGTGTCTCTGGCACTGCGTTTGAGGTTCTTAATTTCATTTTGCATCGATGTACTAGACAGAAACTGCTTTGCCTTCCTCTCCTCCCGTTTGCCTGCAACTTTCTACGGTCCCATCGCTCCCTGCGCACCCTCTTTCCTTGAATGCTACTTTAGCAATATCCTCTTTGCACCCTCACTTAAAGCTTTTAGGGTTTTTTTCCCCTTTTTGCAAGGCCAACCTTTCTTCACAGAAGAGATCCTTCTGGTTGGCAAGATGGGCACTGTTATCCCTCCAGGCTTAACGCCGCACTTCTCCGGAGCGATTTGTTTCTTCCGACGCCGACGCCGCTTCAACTGATGAGCTGCAAGAGCCAAGGCAACTGTCCCGAGAGCTGTAGCAAACAGCACCTTACGCAGGCCTGGAGAGAGCCGCAGCTGAGAGAAGACAGACTTTAAACACAAAAGATATGAAAGAGCAACAATGAAAAACTAATTCCACCACCCCTTTTGTTTTTTTTTAAAGCAGTCTTAAACGTAACAGACCTGAAATGTACCTTGGCATTCTCTCTCCCACCCACAGAACACAACTCCCACTATACAACTACTGCTTGATAGCAGAGAAAGTGCGTAGCCTCATTTTGACAGAACCTGGAGAACATGGTCTCAATGTGCGCATCACCAAAACACCCTGAAAAGTTTGCATGCAGCCCATAACACGTGAGATCCAAGTTATCCAGATGCAGCTCTGAAACCCCAGTACACAGCTGAGCTTTACTGCTCCAAGTGTTGCATTATTACAAGTGGGGAATACATTAGTCATCTTTAAAACTAAAATCTTGTTTTAGTGCCTTTGCAGACAAGAAAGGTTGAACCCAAGAGTTCTCCCTGGATGAGATGCGTGAAAATTGCCAAATTCTGCTAGCATCACCCCGCTGTTCCTCCTTCCCTCTCAACTAACGCAGGCTCTTCTTTCTCTGCAGGCAACCCCCAAAGAGAAAATCCAAGGAACCGGTCAGAAAAGCTTTTTCTGCTTCTTGTACCTGCCCAAACGTCGTGTAAACAAACACGGGGATCTCCGCTACGGTCATCGCCAAGGCCTGGATGATGGACATCCCCTCTGTCCTTCGAAATGCCATGTCTGAACGAGCACCTCGGCACCTCCAGGAGCCCCCACGGGGAAGAGCGCTTGCAGACGCTGCGTTGGCTGCTCACAAGGAAACCCAGCTTGCCCTCGACCTCTGACTCGGCGTCCTGGGGTCAGTCTTCAGCCAGCAATCCTCTTCCTGCACGAAGAGGGAAAAACAGGCGAGTGAAGGGAACGCGCGCTCACGTCTCTGCGCGGCACTCCTGAACGCCGACCAGGCTCAGCGCAGCACCGCAGCTAGGGCCAAACAGGAGAGCTAAAGCGTTTTCTCCCAGACAGCAGCAGTTTCTGCTTCTCCTACTAACCGCGGGGGCAGATGCCCAAACTACTCTACAGCAGGAGACCAAGCATCCTCGAACTGGATAGCTGCGACTACACCAGACATTTCCACGTGTGCCAAAAGCGGCTGCACGCAGTTGCAGGGATTTTGTTTGCAGCCCCCCATGTAAAAAACTCCTTCGTCCGAAAAACCCTGTGTTCACTTTAATTGGCAAAACTCCGCTCCCCCTCAGTTTTGCGACCGCATCAAAGATCTGCTCAAAAGCCACCGAGAAAAGAGCGTTTGCCCAGGGGTTTCAAAGCAGCTGAGGTTTAAGCGGCGCTTTGCTGGCCGCGCGGGGAGCCGGGGAGGACAGGCGTGCTTCACGTCAAGGACAGAGCTAGGAAAGAACGTGATGAAACCTGGGGGTGTCTTTTAACTGCAACAAAGTTAGAAACGCTTTGGCTCCGCTGGCTCTTTCCGGCGAGCCAAGTCCACCGCAGCCCGGCGACGCTGCACCTCCCGCGTGCGGCTTGCAGTCCGGCCGGGCCGGGCTCTCGTGTCTTCCCACACCGACGAGCTAAACCCATCCCATGTTTTAAAGCTGCGTGATAACTACCTGCTCCTACCTGATCGTAGCGCTCGC